TTCAGCTAATTAATGGAGAATGTGTACCAATCGGTTCAGAGTGTCAAAAAAATGAAGACTGTTGTAGTGGGGATAGTAGATGGTCAAAAATTTGTCTCGATAGTGGATGATTTGTTATATATAAAAGTTCAGCATAGTAGAAAAGAAGATTTTAAACAAATATATTATATTATAAAGTGAAACACGTTTTCAGTTTCTTGTTTTTGTTCAAAGTAAAAATATGAGGCTTATCATAAGACATGGTTAAAAACTGATTCGAATGATATATATTCCGAAATTTTTTCTTAATTTTCATTTTTTCGTGAAAATCTGTTATTTTTCGACATAAAGAATGAAAAAACCTGAAACAATCGAGCAGGATAAAAAATGATATATCGTTCGATCCAGTTTTGGACGCTGATTCCAATTATGGTATTATTACTGCATAAAAGGTGCGTTTTGATGGATAAAATTGTGAATTATGGATAGAATTGCGATTTTTTTTCCCTTTCTAGAACAGAAAGTATACCAGAAACAATTTATTTTTCTTCAATCGCATAACATTTTGTCGATTCCTTCAAGACGGATCGAACGATGTATGACACACAGTGGATAACAGCTTTGTCTTCATGAAACAGTTAAATCGTAGTTAACATGTGTTACTATCATCATATATAGTGATCAGTATAATCCAGATAAAATATTAACATCGTAATGATTTTTCATCATATACCAATCAGTATGTCTCTTCAGTATCTATCGTTCTATATGTAAACCATTATCAGAGATTGTCCTGGAACGGAGAAAAAAATTGGAATAATCTATTTGCTGTCACATTGCTTGAAATTTAAAATGACTGTATTTCAGACATTTTTTCATCTGTAAGATGGATTCAAACGAGAAAAAAACATCCGCCATTTTGTGCCCAAAAAATTAACAATTAACAGTTGTATTAAAAGAAAACGTTCAAGACTAGATATTTTTTGTCTGTTTTTCCGCAAACAGGAAAAGACAGTGTTTGAGTAGAAAGATTATGAAAAAAACTTATTATCAAAACAGTTAATATTTTTAATCTGAAGAAATACTATCATGAATTTTCTGAGTCTTCGCTTGTATCATCACTGTCACTGTCACCACCACTGTCCGTTTCAATATGTGGTGGATATTTCGCATTCAAATAATCACAAATATCTTGATGATTTAATGATCTGGCAAGGTCATATGGTTTCATTTGATGATTTGACATACATCCGTCCAATTTCAGTTCATCGATCAAATATTGAACTGTGATTAAACTATTGTTTCTCACAGCTAAATGAATGAGACTATCACCAGTTGCACCTTCATTTACATCAAATGTAAATTTTCCTAATTTAATCAGCATTTTAACACCATCAAAATTATTGTTTTTGATCAATAATTGTATTGGTGTCAATTCATCATTGTTTTTATTATCAAATTTTTCTTGAATATTAATTGATTTTGTATTTAAATAGTTAAGCAAACATTCAATTGTCTCATTGGTACCCATTTGTTTACTTAACACATGGAATATATTATTCCTCTCATTATCAATAGCATATATATAATCTATTTTTAATGTTAATAATGTTTCTAGTACATCTCGATTATTGAATTTTGCAGCTATCAATATTGCTGTTTCTCCCTGAGCGTTTGTCTTTTCGATAATATTATCAGACAGTTTACTCACAGCATTAGCCATTTGTTGAGCAAATAATGTATGACCATTTTCAATTGTTTTGTGTAATAGATTCTCTTCGTATAAATTGATCAGTACACGCGTTCTACGAATCAATAGTTCTGAGTCATTCTTTATTAATAGTTCAACTATCGCTGTCTGTATTTTTGCCAAAAAGTCATCAACATCTTTCTCTTAATGAAGAACAGGAATGATGAAAGAATAAACAATATAAATATATATGCTACTTACCTTGGTCAGATTGTTTAGGAACTGATTGAACAGATGTTGATTGCTCTTTCTGTTGTTTAATAAGTGCCTAAACCATTTAAACATGTTATACTTAGAAAAAAAGTTTAATTGAATGAAACGTACCGGTGAAGTTTGAGGAACGAGTTGATCCAGTGCGTCAGACTGAACATATCCTCCTAAGTAGCTGCGTTTTTTATTTGATGGTAATCCATTCGAGGCTATAGCTTCGTTTGCAGCGCATTTTGTACACACAGTTGAATAAACTAAAGCGAAAAAAGGTAATTGTTTTATTGAATATAATTCAGAAGTACGAAGCATACAAAGAGTTGTGGGTTGATAAAAATACTTTTGCCGATCGGTTTCTATATTATCTTGGAACAATACAATATCAACAGATATCGCAGTATTTAAATTATTTGTAATGTACATGGGCGATTTAAGACATATTGTTCTATCGATCACTTCGAATTCATTAATATCAAAAAACCAAATAATTCTGCCATTCTCCACGTGTTCAAACCGGATACTGACTGCTAAAAACTTTTAATAATAATGTGTTTTAATATAAGCTTATTATTCACTCACGAGCACTCGTGTTAATTTTAGTTCTCAAAACTAAAAGTATATCGTCTCCACCAGCATAACTACCGATTTTTGGAGCGTATGTTCGTATTTTATAACCAAGATTTTCTTCTGTCAACAACAGATAAATTGTTTAACTACAGAACAATTCAAATCACTATCTAATACATACCTTGCTTCTTTTTAGTATTCTTTTCTTCAGTCATTATATTAGAAAAGACGTTTGTTGCCGTATAGTTAACAAACGATCCATTCTCTCCTAATTTTTTAGCTATACTAAATACAAGTTGTGATTTGGTGAGATCATAGATGGAAACCAGCTCTTTCGGATCAGGTAACGAAGTGTCTTTGTTCAATCTTGGTGTCCAACGCTGAATGTCGTCTTCAT